AGGGCAGTGGGCTGGAAGTCAGGAGGTTGGGGTTAGGGAAGAGCACACTACTTCCTCACTATGTGATGGTAGGGGTGGTTCACAGGACCACTTGTCCATTCCTGTAATGAGAATTTTGAATTGGGTTCTCTCTGTTTTCTTTTCTGACTCTCATTTCTGAATCTCGAATAGAGGAGAAACTTTTTAGGTTTAAGGTTCCCCGAAACTGGGAAATTTACCTTTTTCTGCTTTATTTTCAAAACTATATAAAAATTCCAAATATATAATTACAATACAGATATATTGACCAAGACCTTTAAATAATTACTTTTTTTGTTTGTTTTTAAGTCCCTGTTTACTTCCCAAATAAATAGGCATCCATCAGTACCAAGATTTCTTTCTTTTACAGCTCCTTTCTCTATGATACTTTCTAGTGTTGTATAATCCTCACAATGATGGGTTCTTCCTTTAATATAACTGAAATTATTCACATAGACCTAATCTACTTAATTCAGATCACTCAGTAGGGCCACACTTTGGTCAATTCCATGGAGTCTCATTCTCATAAAAAGCAGTGGGCATGGTGCCCTCTGGAGTTGTGCAATGCCTGGCTTAGTTTTTGTCCGAGCTCTAGGACTTAGCACTTAGGAGTGGGCAGCCCCTACTCTTTTATGGAGAGGAAATTGCCCTGGCACCACCATGAATGATTCGTGATGTTGGAGTGGATAGTGGGAGGGAACTGTGTTCAGCACATGTCTGTCACTCAGAGCCTTCTTCATTCTGGCTCTCTGGTCTTCCTTCATATTCTTTCTACTTCCCCATTTAACAAATGGAAAATAGAACTCTGGTATCCCAACGATGGGCCAAATGATTCTAGAAGACCCAATTCTAAGGTTAGACATGACCCAACATGTAAGGATCAAATCCATAGTTTGCAGTCCTGGAAAGGATGCCATTCTATCTCAATCTTTATTCTTATTTTTTATTGTAAGTGTTACGCACCAAGAGTTGAGATAAAGAGAAATCACGTCTTATGGTCCTTTCTTCCCAATTTAGGGGCTGTAAAATTAATAACAAAGTTTATCACTTTCTAATCTCTCATTACGTGCCAGGCACTGTGTTAAGGGCTTAATCATTTAATGTACACATCATGCCTACCTGGTGAATATTCAGTAAGCATGATTAGCACCATTTTGCAGATGAATAAACAGAGGCACAGATAAACGGACTTGCTTTCAGCCTGACAGCCATAGGGGGCAGAAGCATTCAGCCTAGGCTAGGCTGACTCCAGAGCTATAGTCCCAGCCACCACAATACCCTGCATGCTGGATAGGAGCTATAAACACATCATATTTTTTCTTCCCTCTGCGAGCCTTTTAATATGACATCTTTGCCCTGAAATGAAAGCTGGGTCAGAACATACAGTCTGAGCTCAAGTGGTTAGAGGTGAGGTGAGAGTCAGCACAGACAATTATGCAATCCTCTCACATGTGGGGCTAGGCCAAAGTCTGTGAACTATGAGCCAGGCAGCTCTGGCCCTGGTGGGGAAACAGCACCCAGCTCCCCTGGGGAAGCAGGAGTGGGGATCTGGAGGTATTTCTGGACTCAAGAGTAGCTCTTTCTTCTGTCCCCAGAAGGAGTAGAGAGCTTATGTTTAACTCAAGATGTCTCTCTCATTCCAGGTGCCTGGCACACAACATCCAAATAAATAATATTTATTGAGCACTTACTATGGATCAACTCCATTAGCTCATTCAAATCCTCACATTTTATTTTACCTATTTTATGACATTTCAGAAAGGTCTTAAGTAGCTTGTCCAGTGTCTCACAGAGGGAGGAGAGCCAGGGTTTAAATCCAGAGCTACCTTGTGACCACTATGATCTACTGCTTCCTTCAATATGAATTGTTTCGTTTTGTTCAAGATGCTAGACCCCCCAAACCCTGGGGCTCCTTTCCTTTGCACCTCCCTCCATTTAAAGTCCCTAGTCCTCCCTGCCGTTTTTCCTTCCCTGCCAGGAGAGACTCTGCCTCCCCAGTGTAGCTACAGAGCAGAGTCTTCTCCAGCCCCCTGGACCAGCCTGTTGTCCAAAGGGCCTGTCGGATCTCTTGTAATTGCATCCCATCCCAGAATTGCTTCATTTGTTAAAAACAAGCTCTGTTTATTTTGAGAATTTGTGTTTGGGGAGGAAATGATTTAGAGTTTGTGTAAAAAAGTAATTTAAGTATGGGTCTTCTGGCCCAAGAACAAGGATTCCAGGCTCTGTTCCCAGCTCTGTCCTCAAACCCCTCTCCTTCCCAGTCTCATTTTCTCTCTCTGCATTCATAGAGAATGAAAGGGCCCTCGAGGGACAAGATAAAGAGGAATGAGATAATGTCCAAAGAAATTCTTACATTCTGAGAAAAAAAAAATGTTCCCCATGAAGTCATACAAAATAATGCATGTAAAGCATTTAGCTAGTGCCTGACACCTGGTAGGTACTCAACTGCTGTGTGAGGCATTGGGCAGGTAGAGTATGCTGGAGTCACTGGCACCTGCAGAGAGTCTCATGGGCCTGGCTGCTTGCAGGGTGTGGCTGTCAGGAGAGTGCTTTCCTGAGTCTGCCTTCCGGGTACAGTTGGTGGCATGCCACAGCTCTTAGGAAAGTGACCTAACTTGGATTTTTTTTGTATGGATATAGAATTGCAAGAAATTCTCATTTGCATGGTGATGGGGAGTTTATTCTTCCTAGAAGCTGCATGTCAAGACCCAGAGAAAGAAGCATTTCTTAATAATGATTAATCAGCTATATCTCACACAAGAAAGAAAAGAAAACAAAGAAATGAGATACTACGGAAACAAGGGAAAAGCAATCACCCAAAGGTGAACCCACCCAGTAGTCCTTGACAGCATTTCCTCTTTTATGCATTAACCTGCATAAAAGTGACCTGCATCCCTTACTAAGTGGAAAGAGCACTGAGAGAGAAGACACGGGAGCAACTCAAGCACCTAGGAAGAGGTGAGCCTCATGCCAGCCTCCATCAGAGGTTTTTATTCATCTTCATCCTAGCCTGCATCTTTCGCAGCTACGGAGAGGTGACCTGTCACCATTGTGTATGGCCTATGATGTCCCAGGTACTGGGTATTTTGTAAAATGCAGAGGGGTGCTTCATACAGAGGGTGAACTTTCTGGTACCTTATTCTCAATAACAAGAGACGGAGAATGGAAAAGAAGGAAGGAGAGAAGAAAAGGAAGTGGAGGGAATGTAACATTGACTATAACCTTTTTATTCTAGGAACTATGCAGGACGCTTTATAATTTATCTTCTTTTAAATCCTTTGCAGTGTTAAATATCTTTTAAAAAATCTTTTTTTAAATTGAGCACCACCAATTCGGACAACCCAATCAGAAATGCATTCCTTTCCATTTGATATAAGGGGATCAGCTTGGATCTCTAGTTGAGATCCCAGAGTGGGTAGAGCTGTCAGTGGGATGGTGTGGAGGTAAAGAGAGAAAGCCTAAGGCCAGCCTGCTTGCCTTCTAGCGCCGGTTTTGCCATGTGGTGGCCATGAACTGTGGGCAGGTTACTTCACTTCTATGAGTCTCTGCTCCCTTTTTGGTAAAGTAGAGATAAAAACAGAAGTTACATCACAGGGTAGTTGTGAGCATTAAATAATTATGTAAAATTCTTGGCACAGTGTCTGACACATGTGGCATGTGTGATAAATGATAGCTACTACTGTTATTTGAATCTGCCAAAATGTCTGGAATCGCCTCACCAAGCTAAGGAAGGCATCTTTCTCCTCCACAAGATGTCTCGGTCTCGTCCCGGCATAGGACAAGCAGGCAATGTCCCAAAGCTTCCAACTGTTATCTTGTCAGAAGAAAAACTGTGCTCTCTTCCTAGTCATTTGGCTTTCTAGAAGCTCCTCAGTAGCCTTTAGGTGGGATAGAGTTCTGGATGGACTCTATAGACTTTTCTGCCAGTGGGCTCTACGTTCTTGAGGTTCCAGTATACACCTGCTCTCTCACTGGGAGTGATGCTGCGTCAAAGAGAGATGAGGCAAAATGGTTTATGAAACAGGATTTGCTATTTCTTGGTTTTCTGGAGAAGATCCTGAGGATCCCCAAAAACATCTGGGGAGTGGTGGTGAGAAAGGGGGCAGTTGGGCCTCACACGCTTGCACATACACGCATTATAGTTAGAGCAACTGGAACTATAAGTAGGAAGTGTGGGTGCGTGCGCTCTGCAGCCTCCTCAGCTGACACCCTATATTCGGTGCCTCCCTCTCCTCCACTGCCACGCACACTACACAAACCTCAGCACACACACAGCTGGAGGTGAGGGCGCTCAGTGGGCACCACGGAGGACGCTGGACAGAGGGCTGGTCTATGCGCACGCATTACAAGACTTATCTTTAAGGCTAAGTAAGCCCTGTTTGTGAAACTTGGGCTACTGCCGGGAGAAGTCAGAGAAAGAGGACTCAACAAGCTGCATAATTACGTTTTGTGCACTTTTCTCAATGTGTATTCTATGCTACTGTTTAAAGTGTTTAAATGAAGGAGGCAGAGAAAGACCGAGCAGGAAGGGTGAGAGAATTAGAAGAGACAGCAAAGATCTCTGGGTCTGGCCTTGCCCAGGGACTGACTAGCTGCAAACATGTTTCTCACCACCCCACCCCAACCCCACCCCCCGCCTCGGCTCCGTGGGAGGACACAGGGGAAGCCCCCAACTTGCCCTCTGCAGGAGTAGCCGTCCTCTTCCTCTTCACTGTGGCTAGTTATTAGGAGATGTCTTGTGCCTCTCTTTCTCATCTTCTCCAGAAGGCATCATCTTCATAATTGGCTTCAAACCAATGATTTTAAGCAGATACACAGTGGGGGTTTGTAATAAAAGGGTGTTGCCTATTTTAGGGGCAAATAGAAAAAGCCAAACGTGCTTTCATGGTTTTTCAGATCTGTTGCCTAATTCCTAGGGTGGATTACCAACCCTGTTTTTCTTATTTAATTGATTAAAAACAATGTTTTTAACCCCCGTTGACAAAGTGAGCTGTGTTGAGTCATAATAGAGTGATATACACACATACTCCCTGGGACTTGAGAGTATTGTGCTTCCTTATGTGGAGGTGGGGACATGGGGGGAGGGGAAAGGACACATCTAATTGATTCAAGAAAACCAGAGGAGGAGACACATACCCCTGAACTCCACAGGCATTGAGTCTGTTCTCTTGGTTGCTGCCCAGCCTGCCCTGTGAGGTCCAAAGGGGAGCTCAGTCAGGGGTCTCTTTCATTGCTCTCCGCTCTTGGCTGGGCAGCTGACTTCCACTTTTCCTGCAGAACATGAAGGCACAGCGTGTTTCCCTCTGGTTCCTGGGCACAATGTTCTTCTTGTGCTCAGTGCACACCCGAGGTCTCAGGAGATGTCTGATTTCCATGGACATGCACCATATAGAAGAGAGTTTCCGAGAAATCAAAGGAGCCATCGTGAGTATGGGTTCTGGGTGAAGGTGTAGGCAAGGGGGCTTGCCTCATCTTACATCCTAACCCAAAGAGCAAGTTCCTTCTCATGATCCTTTATGTCTCAGGAAGGCGTGGAATACTCATCACTTATGTTTCCTCCATAGCAAGCTAAGGACATCTTCCAAAATGTTACCATCCTGTCTACATTGGAGATCCTGCGCAGCGTTAAGGTACTTGGCTGTGTCTGTTCTTTCCTGTATTGTTATTTTTATGATAAAGTGGCCCTGGGTTGAGAAAGAAATCCTCACCCTGTCCCCTTCTCTTTCCTAGTCTCCAGTGTATTCTAAACACTCCTGCCCTCTCATTAATCAACTGATGTGTTAGAGTGCACTGTGTCTCAGAGACTTTGAAACCTCTGGGAGTCACCATTCTGTTGTCTGTATCTGTGAGGTTTTCTTTTTGTTTGTTTGTTGCTTTTTGTTTTATATCCCCATAGATACAGACAACAGAATGGTGGTTATCAGATGGGAAGGGGGTTGGGGGAAGGCAAAGAGGGTTAAAGGGGTCAAATATATGGTGACAGAAGGACACTAGACTTCCAGTGGTGAGCACTCAATAGAGTATGCAGATGTTGTACTATAAAGTTGTACACCTGAAATTTATATAATGTTATTAACCAATGTTGCCCCAATACATTTAATTTAAAAAAAAAAAGTGCCTGGGAGAAATTAAAGAAGCATCATTTACCTTGAGATTGAGGTGCCACATGTTCTATGGCTTAGAGTGATTTTGGAATCATGGGGAAGCCAAGAAAATGAGCAGTGACTTGAAAGCTGGGTTGGTTGTAGGTCAGTGAATAAAAGAAAGAAAGAGGTTTGAGGAGAATAGGATAACGGGTGTATAAAATAATGAATGTGGAGTGAGGGATCTGAAGGTGGGTGTTAGAGGATGAGGTAGAAAAATACATTGGAATCTTTTTACCAAGAACCTTGAATGGCAGGCTGAGCCTTGGCCTTCTATACAGCCAACAGGGGGTCCCTGCAGGGTTTGTTTTGTTTTTTAATTTTTATTATGGTGACATTGGTTCACAATCTAGTAAGTTTTAGGTATAAATTTAACAGTGAGGCATATATATATATATGTATATATATGCGTATATATATATATATGCATATATACATATATATATATTGCATTGTGTGTTCACCGCCCATAGTTAGATTTCTTTCTGTCACCACATATTTGACCCCTTTACCCCATGTACCTCCCCCCTCCCCCATTTCTCCCTCCCCTCTGGTAACCACTAGTCTATAGTCCATGTCCTTGAGTCTCTGTTCGTCTTGTTTGTTAGTCGCTTTTAGGTTTATATCCCACATATAATTGCTATTATGTGGTTTTCAACTTTTTCTGTCTGGCTTATTTTGCTTAGCATGATTATCTCAAGGTCCATCCACGTTGTCGCAAATGGCTGTATTTCATCTCTTCTTATGGCTGAGTAATATTCCATTGTATATATGTACCACAGCTTCTTTATCCAATCATCTATTGTAGGACACTTGGTTGCTTCCATGTCCTGGCCACTGGGAATAACGCTGTAGGTTTTTGAGCCAAAGGCTGTATGATCACAATGCTTTTCAGAAAGGCAATCTGATGATGTTCTTTACAATTCAAGGCAGGGAAGCCACTGTGGAGATCAGTCCAATTGTCCTGAAGAGAGATGATAAGAGTATGTGTGTTACAAAACAGTTGGCTTACGAGGTGGCAATTCACTTTATAGAGGGGGCAACTGAGAACTGCCTTTGAAAGTGAGCTCCTCCAGTCCCTGTAAGAATTCTAGAAAGATTCAGTGTTTTTCAAGTATTGATGTGACAGAGTGTAAGGAATATCAGTATTTCCTTGGGCTTCTCTGCACAGGGTAATTGTTCTAGGTAGCATTGGACCTGATTTATTTGTGGTAAACCAATGTAGCCTCTTAATAAATACTGTTCTAGCCAACTGTATATGACCATTTATTCCAAAATCATCATTTTCAAATAAGCGAATTAATGCCTTGGGAGGGAGAATGACTAGTTAGTGGTTGAGTGAAGATTAGTCACATCTCACTCCTCTGTCTCCAGATTCTTGTCCTTTCAAGGTCTAGAAATAGCTGTGGCATAAGGAAAGGAATCGATGAGGATGCAGGTCTTTATTATATTCCCCCCTCCCTCCTTCTCTCCCCAATTAAAACGAAGGTGTGCAATTTTTTGCCCTTTTGGTTAAGATAACCAGCAGGAACAATACAAGAGAAGGGTTTTTGTGTTGCAAGTAGAATTTGCTATCTAGGAAAAGCTACCCATGGGGCCAAGGAGGTTTTGCTGCTTTAATGCTAATAAAGATGAATGCACTATCCTGTCGTATATCCTTCTCTTTCAAACTAAGCTGTAAGTCTCCTGCAAGATAACTCACTGACTCTCAGGGTGGGGTGCAAACTGCTAGAAAGGAATTCAGCCTGGCCAGCTGCTCTGAGCTGTACCCTGGGAATTCAGGAGCCCTCCCTTAGAGAGATCTACACTCTGCCAGCTGTGGAGTTGCCCAGATGTAGGCATTTCCGCAGCTGTCAGTTTCCATTCTTACTAATCTCAGCTCCATCTAAATGATTCCCTGCAGTTTAAAAAGGACAGACTAGAGGAGAGCCAAGCAGGGTGGCCAAGATAAACACAATGTCATTGCAATAAAAAGAATATATGCCCAGCACACACCTGACATGAAATAGCCATTGAATAAATCCATATTGATGGATAGGAGACATTACAGAGAGGCAGACTTCAGCACAATGTAAGGGAGTACTTTTTAAGAAAGCTGCTCAGACATTGGTTCTTTCAAAAGGAAGATGATTGATTCCTAGAAGAGTTAAAGCAGAAGTTTGTGATGACATGTTGGGGATGCTGTAGAGAGAATTCTAGTCTACTACTGGGTTCCATCCACTATTAATCTCCTGGCCCTATAAATAGAAAGGGGTGAACTGCAATCTCTCCTTAGTGTCTTCATCATAAGTAGCTTTGTTGTGGTAAGAGGAGATGAATACTCTGAGACCAATATGAATTTTAAAAGTGACTTTTAGTTATCTTGCTTCTTCCTGCTTCTATGCAAATAGGCTGCTTTGGTCTCTAAGATAGTAAGAGAAAAGAGTCTTGGGTCTTTCTCTAATTTGTGTCTGTAGCCCTTAGATGTGTGCTGCATGACCACGAACCTTCTGGCATTTTACGTGGACAGGGTATTCAAGGACCATCAGGAGCTGAACCCCCAAATCTTGAGAAAAATCAGCAGCATTGCCAACTCTTTCCTCTACATGCAGAAGGCTCTGCAGCAATGTGTGAGTCACCATATTGAAACTCCAAGCATCTGTTCTCCGTCTGCCCCAGGGAGAGCCCAGGATATGCTGGCCCCAGTTGGCCTTCTGAAATCATTCCTGGAGTCAAAGGAAATTCCCTGCCCTTCTTGTCCACAGGGAGAACTGTCAAGAACCTCTTCGTGTGATCATTCCCTGCCCAGGGCTTCCTCTCTACCAACACCTCACGAGACCCAGGTTTCCTCATGGATAATTCTCCTAGGGTGACCACTTAGTTAAAGTACTCCTTATGTGATCCCAGGGCTGCCGTGTAAGAGGGGTATGCCAAAGATTACAGGCTTACCATAGGCACACCCCTAGTTTTTTTGTTTCTGGCTCTTTGGGGTTTCCATACCAATTAACCTCTGGGTGGTTCCCTGGTATAGCCTATCCCTAAGGATAGCCTATGAATTCATTGTTATCTATTAATATCAAACATCAGAAATAAAACCAAATTCAAATAAGTCAAAGAAATCTTAGACTAGGAGAAATCCTGGGCTCTAGCCCCATCCCTGCCAATGATTTCCTGTGTGACTTTGTGGTAAGTTACTTTACCTCTCTGTGCCTCCGATTCTAAAATTGTTAGAAGTCATGATCCCTGTCCCACTTACATTAAGATTCACAAATCAATTATTTAATTAACAACCTAACAAATATTTATTGAGTGTCTACCTTGCGGGGTGCTGCATTCACTGAGTGGTGACAAGACAGATTTGGCAGTATTTTCCTGGCTCTTCCAGTCTGGTGGGCTGTCAACCTAGAACAAGCAAAAGCTCTGCTCAAACACAGGGTGACTCTACAAACAGACCCTATGTCCCCCTGCTGCTCCAGTCTGAGTTTATTCACCTGACTCTCACCTTGGGAGGAGGGCGAAATGTCACTCAATGCAGAGAGGTAGTTGAAAGTGCTGGCCAGGGTGGAAAGGTCCTCTGATCGGTGCTGCCTTCACTTTACCACAGCAGGAACAGAGACTGTGTCATTGCGGGCAGGAAGCCACCAATGCAACCAGAATCATCCACAACAACTATAATCAGGTAAGGACAGGGAAGAAGATGGGGAAGGTGGAAATGACAAGTAGGAGCTTGATTGAGAATATGCCAGCCTTTCTGCCTCACTGCCACTCAAATTCACTCATTTACTCAACAGGTATTTATTGTAGACCTTCCCAATTCTATGTGTCTGCAAAGAGTGTGTTGGTTTTACCTCATTTGATGACTTCCTGAGTTCCTCTTCCCCATCATTCCTCCACTATTTTCTTATGCCCTCACATATTAGACTTAACCTGTGTTAAATTTTGAGGGAAAGCACATACTGTTTCAGATGAGGGTAATACAGAAGGAGCAAAGATCTCCAGTGACTCAGAAGCAGTTATGCAAGAAACACATTACCTGCCAGATGTCACTGTGGCCTGTAATTGTCATGAGCATTCTATGTGGTTCAGAAGAGCATGCTCCTCGTGTAGACATAGATGCACGTCTCATACACAGGCGGAGGTAGAAACAGTGCTTCTTATATGCATTGCATGGAGATTTTTGTTAAAATGCATATTCTGGGTCAGTAGGTCTGAATGAAGCCTGTGATTCTTCATTTAGACCACAATCCTAAATGATGCCAATTCTTTGAATAGCATGGAGGTAGGGAGTCTGTTCAGAACTCTGCTTCTTTGTAGAGAAGTTCTACAGGATATTGTTATAACAATGGCCAAGAGTCATATTGTTCTTACTATGAGCCAGGTATTGTTCTAAGCACACTAGAGGTATTAACACATTTATTCTTCACAACACTGCTATGAGCCATTATCTGCATTTGACAAACTGGTTAAGTACCTTAACTAAGTTCATACTGCAACTAAGCTGTGAAGGTGGGACTTGATCCCATGCCATCTGGTTCCACAGGACTTTTGAATCTTATCATCTCCTCTACTCTGCTGAGGAAAAGGTGGAGTAAGGCGGGAGACTTGGGTTCTAATTCTAGCCTTGTTGCCAACCATCTATGTGATACTGGGTAGGACACTGATCCTTAGGGGCTTTGATATTTCAATATGTCAAATGGGGACAACACTCTCTCCCTACCCTGGGATCGAAACCTTCTAAAGCAGTGGTCTCCAACCTTTTTTGGCACCAAGGACTGGTGCTTCTATGAGAATCTAATGCCTGATAATCTGAGGTGGATCTGAGGCAGTGATGCTAGTGCTGGGGAGCGGCTATAAATACAGATGAAGCTTCCCTTGCTGGCCTTGCCTGCCACTCATCTGCTGTGCGGCCTGGTTCCTAACAGGCTATGCTGGTACTGGTCTGCAGCCTAGGGGTTGGGGGACCCCTGTTAAAGCTAATGTGAAAAGGAGAATAAGCAGAAGAACTTTCCAGGAATGCAAGTTTTTTTTTTTTTCTGTGAAAAATAAGAAAAAGAAAAACAGAGGGCAAAAAAATGAAGAATTTAAAATTTTGTTTATAAGTGGCTGACATGATTTAACTACTTGTATATGAAAAACAATTTGGGCTGCCCATTGAAAAAATAATTTGGGGTTTGTACACTCTGCACATATAATCAATGAATAAAAAGAACACCTCACGGGGACAGGAACATGGGGAAAGTGATTTGAAAACGATTATGCAATCTAGAAAAACAGGTTCTTATGATAATTTCCCTGGTTTCAGCTGGAAGTCCAGTCTGCCGCCCTCAAGTCTCTGGGAGAGCTGGATGTCTTTCTGGCCTGGGTTCACAAGAATCATCAAGGAGCTTCCACTGCCTGATGACAACGAACCTGATTACCCAGGGGCAAACAGCCCTGAGATTTCCAGTAGGAGACAGCCCACTTTGAAGAGGAAAGAGATGGAGAAGGCCCATTTTTATGCAAATAAGGGTTTTTTTGAAGACATCTCTCTGTTGATTTGA